ACACACCTTTACACAGAGACACGCACACCTTTACACAGAGAGACGCACACCTTTACACAGAGAGACACACACCTTTACACAGAGAGACACACACCTTTACACAGAGACACACACACCTTTACACAGAGAGACACACACACCTTTACACAGAGAGACACACACACCTTTACACAGAGACACACACCTTTACACAGAGAGACACACACACCTTTACACAGAGACACACACACCTTTACACAGAGACACACACACCTTTACACAGAGACACACACACCTTTACACAGAGACACACACACCTTTACACAGAGACACACACACCTTTACACAGAGAGACACACACACCTTTACACAGAGAGACACACACCTTTACACAGAGAGACACACACACCTTTACACAGAGAGACACACACACCTTTACACAGAGACACACACGCACCTTTACACAGAGACACACACACCTTTACACAGAGACACACACACCTTTACACAGACACACACACCTTTACACAGAGAGACACACACCTTTACACAGACACACACACCTTTACACAGAGAGACACACACACCTTTACACAGAGAGACACACACACCTTTACACAGAGACACACACACCTTTACACAGAGACACACACACCTTTACACAGAGACACACACACCTGTACACAGAGACACACACACACCTGTACACAGAGACACACACACACCTGTACACAGAGAGACACACACAACACAGAGAGACACACACACCTGTACACAGAGACAGACCTGTACACAGAGAGACACACACACCTTTACACAGAGAGACACACACACACCTTTACACAGAGAGACACACACACACCTGTGCACAGAGAGACACACACACCTGTACACAGAGAGACACACACACCTGTACACAGAGAGACACACACACCTGTACACAGAGAGACACACACCTTTACACAGAGACACACACACACACCTGTACACAGAGACACACACACACCTGTACACAGAGAGACACACACACCTGTACACAGAGAGACACACACCTTTACACAGAGACACACACACACACCTGTACACAGAGACACACACACACCTGTACACAGAGAGACACACTCACCTTTACACAGAGAGACACACACACTTGTACACACACACCTGTACACACACACTTGTACACACACACCTGTACACACACACCTGTACACACACACCTGTACACACACACCTGTACACACACACCTGTACACACACACCTGTACACAGAGAAACACACACACCTGTACACACACAGAGAAACACACACACCTGTGCAACTGCCACAGCTCCACCACTGTTATATTAACTCCTCCTCTTTCCCCCAGAAGCAGCATCAAGTCGTCCAATCACCAGTCGTCTTCCTCCTCCTCTTCCTCCTCGCTCTCCTCCTGCTCCTCTTCCTCTGCGCTGGCTCAGGAACTTTCCCAGCATGCATCAGCGCTGCCGGAGGCCGAGGCCAACAGCCAGGTGGACTGGACCTACGACCCCAATGAGCCTCGATACTGCATCTGCAACCAGGTAAACAACAACATTATTATTATTTATTACGAGCCTCGATTCTGGTCCTGGAGTAATCTGCGGCCGCGAGCTGTTATGTGCCATCATGACGCGCATGGTGTTATTTTTTGATATATTATAATGAAGCGCGAGCTGTGTGCTCGAGTCTTCCTGTCTGAACTCTGCTGCTCCGCGATGAGGGTCTGACTTCAGCAGCTACATTACCTACGGTGCGTTCGTTAATAGTAACTGTCCGGAGTCACTGTGGCACAGACTGGACCGCTGGTGAACAGCTGTTAGAACAGTTCAGCTGGTGAACAGCTGTTAGAACAGTTCAGCTGGTGAACAGCCGTTAGAACAGTTCAGCTGGTGAACAGCCGTTAGAACAGTTCAGCTGGTGAACAGCCGTTAGAACAGTTCAGCTGGTGAACAGCCGTTAGAACAGTTCAGCTGGTGAACAGCCGTTAGAACAGTTCAGGTGGTGAACAGCCGTTAGAACAGTTCAGGTGGTGAACAGCCGTTAGAACAGTTCAGGTGGTGAACAGCCGTTAGACAGTTCAGGTGGTGAACAGCCGTTAGAGCAGTTCAGGTGGTGAACAGCCGTTAGAACAGTTCAGGTGGTGAACAGCCGTTAGAACAGTTCAGGTGGTGAACAGCCGTTAGAACAGCTCAGGTGGTGAACAGCCGTTAGAACAGTTCAGCTGATGAAAAGCCGTTAGAACAGTTCAGGTGGTGAACAGCCGTTAGAACAGTTCAGCTGGTGAACAAGCCGTTAGAACAGTTCAGGTGGTGGAACAGCCGTTAGAACAGTTCAGCTGGTGAACAGCCGTTAGAACAGTTCAGGTGGTGAAACAGCCGTAGAAACAGTTCAGGTGGGAACAGCCGTTAGAACAGCTTCAGGTGGTGAACAGCCGTTAGAACAGTTCAGGTGTGTGAACAGCCGTTAGAACAGTTCAGGGTGGTGAACAGTCAGCTGGTGAACAGCCGTTAGAACAGTTCAGGTGGTGAACAGCCGTATAGAACAGTTTCAGGTGGTGAACAGCCGTTAGAACAGTTTCAGGTGGTGAACAGCCGTTAGAACAGTTCAGGTGGTGAACAAGCCGTTAGAACAGTTCAGTGGGGACAGCCGTTAGAACAGTCAGGTGGTGAACAGCCGTTAGAACAGCTCAGTGGTGAACAGCCGTTAGGAACAGTTCAGGTGAATGAACAGCCGTTAGAAACAGTTCAGGTGGTGAACAGCCGTTAGAACAGTTCAGGTGGGAACAGCCGTTAGAACAGTTCAGCTGTGAACAGCCGTTAGAACAGTTCGGTGATGAACAGCCGTTCGAACAGTTCAGCTGGTGAACAGCCGTTAGGAACAGTTCAGCTGGTGAACAGCCGTTCAGAACATTTCAGCTGGTGAACAGCCGTTAGAACAGTTCAAGCTGGTGAACAGCCGTTAGAACAGTTCAGGTGATGAACAGCCGTTAGAACAGTTCAGGTGGTGAACAGCCGTTTAGAACAGTTCAGGTGGTGAACAGCCGTTAGAACAGTTCAGGTGGTGAACAGCCGTTAGAACAGTTCAGGTGGTGAACAGCCGTTAGAACAGTTCAGGTGATGAACAGCCGTTAGAACAGCTCAGGTGGTGAACAGCCGTTAGAACAGTTCAGGTGGTGAACAGCCGTTAGAACAGCTCAGGTGGTGAACAGCCGTTAGAACAGTTCAGGTGATGAACAGCCGTTAGAACAGCTCAGGTGATGAACAGCCGTTAGAACAGTTCAGGTGGTGAACAGCCGTTAGAACAGTTCAGGTGATGAACAGCCGTTAGAACAGCTCAGGTGATGAACAGCCGTTAGAACAGTTCAGGTGGTGAACAGCCGTTAGAACAGCTCAGGTGTTCAGAGCAGAGCTCCCTGTCAGAGCGTGATGTGAAATGAATCGTTGAGCTAGCTAGCTAGCATACATTGTCACTATCTGCTAACGTTAGCTTTAGCCTTCAATTTCTAATAGTTTTTTTCATGGGCGATAAACAGAGGTGGTATAAGTATAGATCTGGTACTTGAGTAAAAGTAGAAGTACTCAGACCTTGTAACCTCTTGATTCCCTGTTGCAGGTTTCTTACGGAGAGATGGTCGGCTGTGACAACACAGATGTGAGTTTCATCATATGAGTGAATGTGTGTTTAATGTATGTGTGTGTGTATATATAATGTGTGTATAATGTGTGTGTATATATATAATGTGTGTGTGTATATATAATGTGTGTGTATATGATGTGTGTGTGTATATATAATGTGTGTATATATGATGTGTGTATATGTGTGTGTATATATATAATGTGTGTGTGTGTGTGTATAATGTGTGTGTGTGTATAATGTGTGTGTGTATATATATATATAGTGTGTGTGTGTATAATGTGTGTGTGTATAATGTGTGTATAATGTGTGTGTGTGTGTATTGTTGTTGTGTGTATCTGTGTGTGTTGTCTATCTCTATCGTGTGTGTGTGTCTCCTGTGTGTGTCTCCTGTGTGTGTCTATGTTGTGTGTGTGTCTCCTGTGTGTGTGTGTGTCTCCTGTGTGTGTGTGTGTCTCCTGTGTGTGTGTGTCTCCTGTGTTGTGTGGTGTGTCTCCTGTGTGTCTCCTGTGTGTGTGTCTCCTGTGTGTCTCCTGAGTGTGTGTCTCCTGTGTGTGTGTCTCCGTGTGTCTCCTTGTGTGTGTCTCCTGTGTGTCTCCTGTGTGTCTCCTGTGTGTGTGTCTCCTGTGTGTCTCCTGTTGTGTGTCTCCGTGTCTCCGTGTGTGTCTCCGTGTGTCTCCGTGTGTCTCCTGTGTGTCTCCTGTGTGTGTGTGTCTCCTGTGTGTCTCCTGTGTGTGTCTCCTGTGTGTCTCCTGTGTGTGTGTGTGTGTGTCTCCTGTGTGTGTGTGTGTGTGTGTCTCCTGTGTGTGTCTCCTGTGTGTGTCTCCTGTGTGTGTGTGTGTGTGTTGCAGTGCCCCATCGAGTGGTTCCACTACGGCTGTGTGGGTCTGACTGAAGCTCCTAAGGGGAAGTGGTTCTGTCCTCAGTGCACTGCAGCCATGAAGAGGAGAGGCAGCCGGCACAAATAGAGACTCCTCTCCTCTCCTCTCCTCCTCTCCTCCTCTCCTCCTCCTCCTCTCCTCCTCTCCTCCTCCTCTCCTCTCCTCCTCTCCTCCTCTCCTCCTCTCCTCCTCCTCTCCTTCTCCTCCTCTCCTCCTCTCCTCCTCTCCTCCTCTCCTCTCCTCCTCTCCTCCTCTCCTCTCCTCCTCTCCACCCTCACCTGATGCCCCCCCACCCTCACCTGATGCCCCCCTCACCTGATGCCCCCCTCACCTGATGCCCCCCACCCTCACCTGATGCCCCCCTCACCTGATGCCCCCCACCCTCACCTGATGCCCCCCACCCTCACCTGATGCCCCCCACCCTCACCTGATTCCCCCCCACCGTCACCTGATTCACCCTCACCTGATTCCCCCCCACCCTCACCTGATTCCCCCCCACCGTCACCTGATGCCCCCCACCCTCACCTGATGCCCCCTCACCTGATGCCCCCTCACCTGATGCCCCCTCACCCTCACCTGATGCCCCCTCACCCTCACCTGATGCCCCCTCACCCTCACCTGATGCCCCCCTCACCTGATGCCCCCCACCCTCACCTGATGCCCCCTCACCTGATGCCCCCTCACCCTCACCTGATGCCCCCTCACCTGATGCCCCCCACCCTCACCTGATGCCCCCTCACCTGATGCCCCCTCACCCTCACCTGATGCCCCCTCACCTGATGCACCCTCACCTGATGCCCCCCCACCCTCACCTGATGCCCCCTCACCCTCACCTGATGCCCCCTCACCCTCACCTGATGCCCCCTCACCCTCACCTGATGCCCCCCCACCCTCACCTGATGCCCCCTCACCCTCACCTGATGCCCCCTCACCCTCACCTGATGCCCCCTCACCCTCACCTGATGCCCCCTCACCCTCACCTGATGCCCCCTCACCTGATGCCCCCTCACCCTCACCTGATGCCCCCCACCCTCACCTGATGCCCCCTCACCTGATGCCCCCCCACCCTCACCTGATGCCCCCCCCACCTTCTCTATTCACCTTTAGAGAGTCACCTTTATTACCCAGAATGCATCAGCCTCTTTCTGTGTGACTTTTCTTCTCATCATTCTCAATTAAAACTTTAAAAATTAAAACATATTTGTTGTTAAATTCTGATTTGTGAAGATTCTCTTTTGTGTTCAGATTAAAGGAAGTGTTATCTGAGCTCTTTGATTGTGTCTAAGCGTCACCTTGATACCTGGGTTACCCCCATGATCCACTTCCTGTTGAACTTTAATACAAAAAGAACTACAAACATGGCCGCTGCTGGACTACAACTACAGGATCCTGGAAGATCCCTGACGGCCCTTTCACACCAACGCGGAGCAAAAGCATGATCTGTGGAAATAACGCATTATATATACAGTCTATGTGCATGGCGCATGTTGCATGGCGCACGGCGCATGTTGCATGTCGCATGGTGCATGTCGCATGGTGCATGGCGCATGGTGCAGCACTCGGGCTCTGGGCGGGGTGAACAGAGGGAGCTGGAAAGTAGAGCTCTCCACGGAGCGGGAGCCGCGTTGGAGTGAACGGGCCATCGGAGAAGAGTTTAAAGTGAAGATGTTTTTAACTCTGACTTCAGTTTCTCTCTTTTCACCCTCTGTCTGAAACCAGAGCTTCTCTGATTGGTCAGCGGGGGCTCTGTTGTGATTGGTCAATAGCTTAGAGATGTCCCGCCCCTTTGAGCCTATCACTACAATGTGTAGGAGCGCTAGCCAATAGGATGTAGACTTCTGAGTCAGTGGATTCAAGATCACATGACCTCTAGAGAAAGGTCTCAGCAGCTGGAGTTAAAAACTAGTTTCACTAAATACCAACTTGAATGATGTGTAATCAGGAAAACAAGTGTTCAACGCACAGGCACTGATTACAAGCTAATAACATAATAACTGACTGAAAGGAAACATCTCCACAAACTGGAATTCAAAACATATCTTTATTATAAAATGATTTGTTAAAGGGGACCTATCATGCAAAATGCACTTGTGTACGTCTTTTCTACATGAATATGTGTCCCCGGTGTTCCAGGGAACTCACCAAGTGTCAGAAAACACAACCCTCTCTATTTTCCTCCATACCCAAATCTCTAAAAAAGGGGCTGCAACGGATCTGATCAAAACTGATCCAGATTTGAACACTGTCCTGACGTCAGGACGGTGGCGCTACGGCTATTGGGCCAACTCCACCAATCAGGAGGAGACAGCCACGGCCATTGCCGTTCCAAAGCGCTGGAGACGCTGTAGTACATATGCCAGGCCTGTAGGTGGTGCTGTTCTCACTGAATCTGCCCTTGCTAAAACAGAGCTAAAAAATGTCAAATTGAGCGAAATGAGGCATGGCTAAAATGCATGATCTGTTTGGTATTTTGAAAAAAAAAAAGTATAAATATGCCTTATATAGGTATGGTCCTACACTATATTATTATAATATAGCATGATAGGTCCACTTTAAGCTGTGATTCAAAATGCTGTGGTGTCGTTTCACCTTTCATAAAAAACATTTTTTATTTATTTAAAAAAGCTAAACTTGTTTTATTTTTAAATAAACTTTAGTCTCAGGTTTTTCCTGCCTGTTCTCTGCTGTGAGCGGGTTAACACACACACACACGCACACACACACACACACACGCACACACACACACACACACACTGACAGGGTGTGTGTGTGTTTTCCAGAAATAACTCTGGAGTGTTTCAGCATGAGGAGGAGGACCCCCCACTGAGCTCTCTGAAGCCTGCAGGAAACTGAAGTTTGAAACTACAAACACAGAAGAGGTGTGTGTGTGTGTGTGTGTGTGTGTGTGTGTGTGTGTGTGTGTGTGTGTGTGTGTGTGTGTGTGTGTGTGTGTGTGTGTGTGTTTTTTAAAGAGGAGGTCTAGAGGCAGCTCTCCTCCTGGATTTAACTGAAACCAGATGGTCTCCTCCACGCGTTTTTCCGCTCCTCTAACCTCTGCAGTCTGCACCGCTACCGGAGGAGTGTGTGTTCACAGTGTGTGTGTAGTGTGTGTTCACAGTGTGTGTGTGTAGAGTGTGTGCTCAGTGTGTGTTCACTGTCCGGGTCCGGTTAGACTCTGGAGGAACTGCGCAGTTAGCAGAGATAATTCGAGACCCATTAAAGCACATGATCGGGAGGAGATGCAGTTCGGCGGAAACCAAGCGAACTTTGCCGCGAACAGCGCGTCTGAGGAGCGAAGTGTATAAAACAGTTTTTATGCAAGTTTTAAAAAAACTTTTAACATCAGGTAATGCCATTTTCTGACCCGTGTGGATCCACTCCTGAACTCTGCTGGGATATAATCACTTTTAAAGCTCTTTAATAACAAATCCGAGCGAACACAGCGGCAGCCTGGAGAATAACGCGTTTACAACGGGATTATGTACATTTATTGGACTTAAAACCTGAGGTAAGACTAGTTTCTGACTCATATGGAACCATTAGATCATCTGTCTTGGATATAATTACCCGAAAGGCTTTTATTTTTGAATACAACCCGTTCTCTGGCTCCATCACTGCCAACGCAGCGTTTGTCTGAAAAACGCTTGGATAATTTTGTGGTTTTACAACTTCGGTTAAAACGTCTTGTGACTCATATGGATCCTACCGTGGACTCTGTTTGGATCTAAAAACCAAAAAGTAGGTTTATTTTATTTAAACAAACTTCTGTTTGTGGATCCATCCGCTGCGCACGGAGCGTCCTTAAGAAATAGACTTAACTTTCTATTCCTTTTTTTAAATTCTAGTTTTTCGGAACTATAACATAATTCATGACTGTTTTCTAACTCATATTAATCCAGTTATGAGTTCTGCTCGGATTTGATCCTCTTAAAGGATGTTTGTTTCTGTTTTAATAACACATTCTCTTTGACGCTCCGCTGTGCGCACCGCGTTCGCCTGAAAATAATCATGTTTTAAAACTGGATTTGGGTTTATGTAAGTTTTTTAAACAATGAACAAGAGTTAATACTTTTTCCTGACTTATATGGACCCACTTGCAAATTCGGCTTGAGTCTTATTACCCAAAAACCAATTAATATTTTTAACAATCTTCACTTTGTGGACCCATCCGCTGCGCACGGAGCGTCCTGCTTAAGAAATAGTGCGTATAACGTTCTATTCCTTTTTTATTCTAGTTTTCCGAATCTTTAACATGAGGTAACACTTTATTCAGACTCATATCGACCCTGTAGTGAATTCGGCTCGGATAAAGTCCAGAAAAGTCTCCAGGTAAACCCTCAGGTGGGCTGGACCACACCTGATGACCCCCTCTGCTCCACAGGTGAGGAGGAGAGGAATGTAAAGCTTCACCGATGCGGATCCTCCGGCCCCCCCTCCGGTTCCTCCGGTTCCGGTTCTGCTCCGGCCCGGTTCTGCTGCTGCTGCTCGGGCTCTGTGTGTTCCTGCAGACCCGGACCCGGTTCCTCTCCGGACCCCAGGAGGAGGAGGAGAAGGTTCTGCTGGAGGAGAAGGTTCTGTTGGAGGAGAAGGTTCTGCTGGAGGAGAAGGTTCTGTTGGAGGAGAAGGTTCTGCTGGAGGAGGAGGTTCTGCTGGAGGAGAGCAGCCGGATCATCGCCTCTCTGGAGGCCCTGCAGGTGAGCTGGGAACCAGTCAGGCACAGAAAACCAGTAACAGGTTTTAAAGGTCCCATGTCACGACTCATGGCCATTTCTACTGATCATAGTTCCATAGTTGAGGTCTACTAGAATAGATTGACATTGTTCAATGTTCCAAACTCACATTGGTTTCTCAGCATCTCTGTATAGTCTGTGTATTCACTCTCTGTCCTACACGGCTTGTTGGAGCTCCTGCCCCCCCCCTCCTCCCTGTGAGCCCACTGTGCTCTGATTGGTCAGCTCGCCCACTCTGTTCTGATGAGTCCACCACCGTTACAGCTGAACATCAGTGATTATGTGTTACAATGGCGTTTGTTAGCAACCAGGAAATGACACCAATAATGACAAACAGATGAGAATGCTGCGTCTGGGTGCCGTGTTGGGGGGACGTTGGGGGGCTCGCTGCTCCGCCCTTTGAGGCTCGAGGAGCCGACAGTGTGAGCTGGGTTACTGGGGTCCTTTACTGGTTGCTGTGTGGGGTCTGCGAGACACAGAGGAACTCAGCCTGAGGCGCCGTTTACACGAGGAGAAAACTGCTTGTATCTGCATAGTTTCGCGTGCGTATAGCCCTATTATTTACACGAGGCCGATAGAAACTGACCCCACAAACGATAACGGGTCCCAAGGTGGATAGATTTGCAAACGAAACTATCTGGGGGGTCAACCGAGTCCGTGTAATCACCTCGATACGAATATTTCCTGAAAAAATAACGATAGCCCCGCCTCTCCTGCTCACTGCTGTAGCAACCATCAAAAATAGCTGTGTTAATTAAACGCACAAGGGGTTCTTGAATGAAATAATATTATAAAAGGCAAACCAGAATTGTTAACGCCCAATATACTCCTTAAACAAAATAAACAGAGTCAGATTTCATGCATTGATCCATTATATTGACAAAGGAGGATCTCACCCGGTGTTTGTAGAGAATATCTCTCTTTTCTGAGCGCGTCCTCTCCACGGAGACGTGCTTCTTGGTCGGTCGATGCAATATCCACAGATTCGGTTTCTTTCAGTTAACTTCCCCGTTGCATTTATCCATATGCTGAGGAAATGACTATATCCCGCTGAATACCAGCAATCGCCACACACACTTCCTCCTGTCAGTAGCTACTGCTAGTGCTACTGCTACTGACCATGCTACAGATATTAGTGCAACATCTACAGCTCCTCGACCACAACCATCAGCAACAAGTGGACATGGAGAATTACATGAACTACATGTTGCTAAATACACCGCGGGGCTTAAACAGAAGGGTAGCCATGGCAACATTGCTGCGGGGCTGCTCGGGCTGCTCTTCTTCGCGGCTTTTGGTGTATTTTGGCGGAAGTTACAGCGCCACTTACAGTCCCGGCATATGTACTACAGCGTTTCCAGCGGTCTCGTTTGAACAGACACGTTAAATGAAACGAATGCATGTGAACGGAAGACCGGCAGTGGCTCAGTCAGTAGGGGCTTGGACTGGGAGCCGTAGGGTCGCTGGTTCAAGTCCCCGACCAGACCTAAATATGGAGTGTGGACTTCTACTTGGAGAGGTCCCAGTTCACCTCCTGCCCTGCCGTGGTGCCCTTGAGCAAGGCACCGGACACCCCCCTTCCCCCCCACTCCCATTGCTCCCCGGGCGCTGTACAATAGCTGCCCACTGCTCCTAGTACTAGACTCCTTGTACTAGGATGGGTTAAAAGCAGAGGCCAAATGTCACTGTGTGTGCTGTGTGCTCTGCATGTGTGACCATTAAAGAGGGTTTCATCCCTCCCTATTCTATTCTATTCTAAGACTTTTATGAATACGCATACTGTGCATAAACGCAAACGGTCCCGTGTGCACAACGCCTGAGTTCAGGCTGAGAAAAGATAAGGCTGAGTGTGTGTGTGTGTGTGTGTGTGTGTGTGTGTGTGAGGAGCTCCACGGATTGGTCCATTTGGACCTGGGTATCGTGACGTCACTTAGTACCAGGAAGAAACAAATGGAAAAAGAGAGATCTCCAACGAGGCGTTCAGGGGCAGCAGGTCTTCTCTGTGTTAGAGCTTTACTCTCTACAGGGTGCACTCTGAGGGTTTGTGACTCTGCAGACCGGTTACATGCAGAAGCTACAGAACACAAGGGGATGGGTCAGAACCAGAAAAGCATGACATGGGACCTTTAATATCCTGTCAGACTACTGGGGGTCACTGAACCAGTCAGCTAGCAGGGCCCTCCTGCTCATTTATGCCCCTTTCACACCGACGCGTTTTCAGCTCCGGCTCGGAGCTGGAGCTGAAAAGTACCGTTTTTTCCTGTTCACACCGCAGCGGCGCCGCCTCTTAGCTCCAGAATCCGGTTCACTTCCAGCTCCAAAAAATTGTCGGTCTAGAGGCAAGAGCTTCGGAGCTAAGAGGCGGCGTCGCTTACGTCTCTCTTACGTGGAGGCGTGCAGGAAACTAAACCCACCTCCCCTGAACATGGGTCGACTGAAGAGTCTCGTCATGCCTGCCTACAAGCAGTAGCGCTGAGCAAAGTGACTCGAAGGCAACCACACACTTATAAAGAAACACGCTTTATAAAGTCAGGCAACACTAACCAGGCTTCGTGTGATTCTGTTTATTTGTACCTTACTTTGACCATCCGTTCGCTGTTATTGATCATTGTGGAGAGCAGGCAGACGTTTGTTATTATAGCAGCTATCGGATGGAATCAATACATGGGCTGCACAGGTTGTCATGTCCGACTATCACAAGTAGAATCATAATGAAAAATACGCCGGTAAAAAGTGCCTGTAGAAAACGGCTTAGCAAGTAGTCAGTTTAGCTTCGGTTGCTATGCTAACATCACCCATGTTATACCAGAGAAACTTTCATAACAGCGTTGTGATGCCAAACAGCGTCAATTCAGACTGACACACATTCACTTAAGGGGAACTGGGGATATGTATCAGCTGCTTGTGTGACAGTCAGACAGTGAATAGAGCCGTGTGAGCTAACCCGGAGCTAACGGGAGAATAAACTCCCGTGGAAGAGCAGCCAGCACTGCAGCGGTCGCTAAATGAAACACATTAATAAACAATGAACCACGGCACTCTGGAGAAAAGTATAAGGTTGGAGAAGTCGTTATTTAATTTAATCTGGCTTCGTATGATTAAAAGCAACACGATCATCGACCCGACGCAGTCCCCGGCCCGTTGTTGTTGTTGTTGTTGTTGTTGTGAGCGCCGTTGGGGAGAAAATCAGCGATGTAAACGGTGACGTCATGACGCAGCAGCGGCAGCTCTGGGCGGTGTGAACAGAGCGGGAGCTGAAAAGGGAAACCGGAGCTGAACCAGAAAAGCTCTAGGAGCTAGAAAGGGAAAAGCGCTGGTGTGAAAGCCGCATTTAGTGGGAATGCTGATACAGCATTCCCACTAAATGTTCTTCTACGGACAAAATTATTATTATTCCGCTGGAACTTTGCACCTCTTCTCCTCCTGCATTCAACATCACAGAAACTCCGTTCAAACATCAAAACGTTCAGCTCGGTCGGGAATCGATGGCTATTATTTGGATTATTCATAACTTTCATAATTCCAGAGATACATCCCATAATTCATCACATTTTTAACCATTGAAGTCAATGGAGAAAATCTTCAGACTTGAACAATCTTCATGCGACTTCAACTGCTAACTGTTCATTCATACTTTCACTCAGAAACCTCATTCCAACTTTAAAATGTTACACATCTTTCTGACATTATTCGTGTAACACAACTTTTAAATCTGATTCTTACTTTTAGAGATATTAAACATTGTTCAGACCTTGGTAAAGAGGCTTTCTTCAGATTTTAACATTAACTAGAGTGCGTGATGTCACAGCTAGAGGGTAGGAAATCTTGAAATTTGCCTTCATATATTTTTTTAAAACTGCCATAATTCCCAAACCCTACATTCCTGAGACATAATTCTTCATGACAAACGTAGGAAAACATCTCGTAGCTTGAAAAATGACAAATAATTAAGCAAAATGCCTCTTGAGGGCATGAAGTGACAAAAACGTTCAACATGTCTCCATTAAAACCCATTGTAATTTCAGGCTGATATTTCCTCACAGCAGCAGCCGCACACCTTTAGTTAAACTGCCAAAAAGGCCACATTATTAACCCGAAAGTACACAAGAATTACACTTCAGATACTCAACTTCCTTGACATGCTTCACATTTTGAAATTTCACAGATATCTGTTATCGTTCTTCCACAAAACGTTCACATGTAAGAGGTTTATCTCTCATTCAGAACAATGAAACCTTTGATCTCTACAGAGCTCGTTAGCTCAACTTGAAACACCTGTGTAATGGAACACGATGATGTCATCACTCCAACTGACAGCAATCAGTTCTAACTGTTCATCTCTCTCTCTCTCTCTCTCTCTCTCTCTCTCTCTCTCTCTCTCTCTCTCTCTCTCTCTCTCTCTCTCTCTCTCTCTCTCTCTCTCTCTTTCCATGGAAACGCATCCCTCGCCATAAAACACGATGTCCCTTTAACTCCTATGAAAATGTTCAAAAAGTGCTCAAAATTCACATGTGTGCTAACAGTCCAGCCGTGAAGACATCTACGAGACAGTTTTGAGATTTCTTCAAATGCCGTTGCCATGGCAACACAATGCTCGCCATGAAACACGGTTTTCTCATAACTTCAGTGAAAATGCTTCAAACGGCCCAAAACTTCACAGGTTTGGTAACGATGCAGCCATCAACGCATCTAAGCGTATTATGGGGTGTCATCAAATGCCGTTGCCATGGCGACAGACCACTCGCCATGAAGCACGATGTCGCTGTAAGTCCAATGGAAACGGTCCGATCGTCCCCCAAACTTCGCTTGTATATCACCGGTCCAGCCCTCAACAGCTCTACGTCAATTATGGGGTTTCTTCAAATGCCGTTGCCATGGCAACACAATGCTCGCCATGAAACACGGTTTTCTCATAGCTTCAGTGAAAATGCTTCAAACGGCCCAAAACTTCACAGGTTTGGTAACGATGCAGCCATCAACGCATCTAAGCGTATTATGGGGTGTCATCAAATGCCGTTGCCATGGCGACAGATAATTCGCCATCAAGTTAGTTCAAAAGTTTGCAGTTCAAATATTCTGCTGCTTTTCCAAGCCTTTTTACTCTCTTTTCTCTCATCACACATTCAAGCCCCCAGTGTTCATGTATCATTTCAATCTAAATTCTTCACTTTCTTACACATTACATTTCAGCATAGCAGTTCAGCAAAAAGCATTCCCACTAGCAATTTCTTCAGGAATTGCATTCTCTAGTTGATGATAGAATCAGAGGATGAAACCCTCTCTAATGGTCACACATGCTACTGGGAGCAGGGGGAGATATTGTCCAGCGATGGGAGTGGGGGGGAGGGGGACTTGAACCAGCAACCCTACGGCTCCCAGTCCAAGTCCCTACCGACTGAGCCACTGCTGGAACTGATTGTCTGAGTATTTATATTTTTGTGGGAATGATTGACAGCTGCAGGATGATTGACAGCTGCAGGGACCAATCAGATTGCAGTGTGTCTTAAGTATGTGTTGGAGGTATTTTAAGTGTGTCCCTGAAACAGATATAGAAGAATGTTTGGGACGTCAATCAGACGGTTAACTTTACCGTACCGGAGGATCACATCCAGTGTGTGTGTGTGTGTGTGTGTGTGTGTGTGTGTGTGTGTGTGTGTGTGTGTGTGTGTGTGTGTGTGTGTGTGTGTGTGTGTGTGTGTGTGTGTGTGTGTGTGTGTGTGTGTGTGTGTGTGTGTGTGTGTGTGTGTTGGTTGGT